GAGAGAGAAGGAGACAATCTGAAGCAGGGTCCAGGCTCTGAGCTGTCAGCACAGAGCCTGATGTGGGGCTCGAACTCGCAAACCGTGAAATCATGACCTGGGCGGAAGTCGGACACTTAACCGACTGAGCCATCCGACACTTAAACGCCCCTGTTCAGGCCTTTATTAACCACTTTCCCTGGGCCAGTTCATACTGCACCGCATTTACTCACTTAGTGAATCAGTGAGCTACTACTTACTATGTTCTAGGCATGAGGGATACGGCAGGGAACCAGGCAGACAAGGGCCCTGTTCCCAGGGGCCTGGGACTATCAGAGGTGCTGGCTAATCATGCCCCCAAGTTCAGATACCCTCGCCGCTACCTGCAGGGAAAGGGTACTTTGCCTCTCAGGCTCTTCCTCTGCCATTAAATTAGCTATTATGTGAAGACACTTAGAACAGAGTGGGCACTGTAGAAGAATTTGCCGCTGCTAATGCTGTTATTATTCTGTCTTTATAAGCAGAAAGCCAGGGCTCCTGACTGGCTCAGTTGGAGGAGCATGTCACTCTTTTTTTTTTTTTTCATTTATTTTTGAGAGAAAGAGCACAAGCGGAGGAGGGGCAGAGAGAGGGGGACAGAGTATCCAAAGTGGGACTCAAGCCCACAAACCGTGAGATCATGACCTGAACAGAAGTCGGATGCTCAACCACCTGAGCCCCCCCGGTGCCCCTAAGAACTTGTGACCCTTGATCTCAGGGTTGTGACTTTAAGTCCCATGTTGGGTGTAGAGCTAACTTAATTTTTTAAAAAAAGACTAAACAGAAAGCCATTGCAGACACAGGAGAAGGGCACTGTCTCCTGCTTCACCGAAAGAAATATTTATAGGAACGTGTTTGTCAGAGTGGGAAGGGGTCAAGGGACCTTTAGGCTCAGTCCCTTTGACCTGAGGTGTAGGGAGGGTAGTAGAGCCTCTTGATTCAGAGGAACATTGTACCTGCTCCTGGCCAGGTATCCCAGGAAGGCTGGCTGTACGATGATGTGTTACAGGCCAGCTGGTGGCAAGCTCAGAATTTAAAAATTTGGTCATTTTGCAAGGGTAGCGTTCCTCTAACTTGATTCTTTCCTAGAACTCTGATGTCTAATATCTCTGTAAAAGAGGACCCATCTCTTATGAGTTTGAGCCCCACATTGGGTGTGGAGATTACTTAAGAAAATAAAATTTAGGTTGCCTGGGTGGCCCAGTCAGTTGAGCGTCTGACCCTTGATTTTGGCTGCGATCATGAGCTCATGGTTTGTGGATTGGAGCTCCACATCAGGCTGTACACTGAGCCAGCTTGGAATTTTCTCTCTCCCTCTCTCTCTGCCCCTTCCCTGCTCGTGCTTGCGTGCTCTCAATCTCTCTCAAAATAAATAAATGGACAATAAACTAACAAAATAAAATAAAATAAAATCTTAAAAAAATAGATGTATGGATGGATAGATAGATTAGACAGACAGACCCATCCTATGGTTGTGAGGACTAAGCATGTCTTTATGTGTTGCAAAGAGCAACCAGATGACAGGCAGGGGTTTTCTTTGGTTGTTTTTATTTTACTTTTGGTTTAAAAATGTGGTTTTAGGGTTTTTACAGACACGTACAGCAATTAATAGCAAGTACAATGCCTCCACATTGAAAAAACAGCTAAGCATTATATTAGGATTAAGTTCCATGTGACTTCCAGCTGTCACCGAGTTGAGCATTCGGCGGTGGTCCTCTGTGCTAAGGGTCCAGAGAATCCTGGCAGCACAGCTTGGTGGCAAGTGGGCTCTGGACTCAGGCCACCTCGGTTCAAATCCCAGCTCTAGCCCCCAGCTGTGTGACCTTGGATAAGCTGCTTCACCTCTCTGTGCTTTGGTTTCATCATCTGTAACTCGAGGGATGATGTGAGTACTGACTTGTCTGTGTCGCTATGAAGGTCAGATGAGGGAAGTGTGAAATGCTGACGGCAGCAATAGCTGTGCCCACGAAACATCACTTATTGTCATGATATGGAGCGATCAGTAATCTCGCCGGACACGTGTCTGATTGCTGTGCACGGTGAGGCAGCACGAGGAACACCCAGCCTGGGCCCTAACCCAGTAGCAGAGGGCTGCCCGGCATCACTTATACAGTAACTTGCGGTATATGATTAAAAAGAAAAAGAAACGTTTTCTTTGTGGGGATGAAAACAACTTGCAAAGAAAGCCCACAGCCATTGCTGATAATGCCTGTGTGAAGCATCCTGGAAGGATCCATGTGTCCCCTTGTGTTTCGTGGGAAAACAGTGACCTTTAGGTTCTCTCAGGCTTAGGGTTAGACCCTTGTAATACGCTGGAGAAGAAATGCTATTAAGGGCACCTACTGTGTGTGTGTGTGTGTGTGTGTGTGTGTGTGTGTGTGTGCGTATAGATATATATATGGCCATATATTTGTCCAAGGAGAAGGAAGGTATGTTGGGGGAGGAAGCTGATGAGCAAAGCAGGAGCAGGGCCAGGCCTGGTTTTATAGGCTGGCAGGCTGTTGGGGTTGACACAGGATGTAGGCAGTGGTACAGGGAGAGATCTTTCATAGAGGATATGGCCTCGATGTATAATCTGATGGCCCGCAGGAGCATTATGGCCATTGGTGATGACAATCAGAAAAAAGTCTCAGGGTACCTGGCTGGCTCAGTCAGTAGAGCATGTAACCTCATCACGGGGTCACGAGTTCAAGCCCCACATTGGGTGCAGAGATTACTTAAATACATACATATGTACATACATACATAAATCTGTTTTAAAAAGAGAAAGGGGCACCTGGGTGGCTCAGTCAGTTAAACATCCGACTTTGGCTTAGGTCATGATCTCACATTTCTTGAGTTCAAGTCCCATATCGATAGGGCTCTGTGCTGACAGCGTGGAGCAGCTTTGGATCCTCTGTCTCCGTCTCTCTCTCTCTCTCTCTGTCCCTCCTGCTCTCTCTCTCTCTCTCTCTCAAAAATAAATCAACATTTAAAAAAAAAAGAGAGAGAGAAACTCTCCTCTGAAGACATCAGAGAGAAAAAGTCATCCTGTTTTGGAAAAATAAAAAGATACCCTTCTGGGTTAGAGGCAGCTCTACTCCAGGGCACATAACTTGAGCAGCAGACCTTGGGCTGGATTTTAGTCCTTGCTGATTGATTGATTGATTGAAAATGTTTTTTATGTGTTTTTTTGTTTTTTGTTTTTTTTTTGAGAGAGAGACAGAGCATGAGCAGGGGAGGGGCAGAGAGAGAGGGAGACACAGAATCAGAATCAGAAGCAGGCTCCAGGCTCCAAGCTGTCAGCACAGATCTTGCCTGACGCAGGGCTTGAACCTATGAACCTTGAGACCATGACCTGAGCCAAAGTCGGACGTTTAACTGACTGAGCCATTCAGGTGCCCCAAGTCCTTGCTGACTTAGGTTCTCTTGTGCAGTGATCAACCTATACAACTGTACATGGTGGTCCTGGAGCCTACCATAGGCTCTTGATCAAAACAGGGCCAAGAAGAGAGCAAAGAACTGGCAGGGCTCTGGGCCCCATAGTTTCCCCCACTTCCATTTGGCCCCAGAGACGAGGGCTGGGGTGCTCCTTGCCCATGGCCGCCCCATGCCGTGCCTCCTCACTCTCTGTGTTTTCCTCTCTGACGGGGCGCGGGGCGGCCCCTAGGTGTCCAGCCACATACAGGTTCTAGCTCGGAAGAAGGTGCGGGAGTACCAGGTTGGCATCAAGGTATGTTGGGCGCCTGACTAGGGCCTCCAGTCCCTCCTCGGCACCTCCACCGCTATCTCCGCGCAGCTCAGGCCTCTGCCTCGGCGGGCTCTCTGGCCCCACTGTGCCTCTTTTCTGGCTGAAGCTCTGTTCTTGCCTCTTCTTCTGCCCTTTCTGCTCTTTTTCTCTCTTTCTTTCTCTTTCTACAGGTCTCTAGCCACTTGCAGGTTCTAGCCAGGCGGAAATCTCGAGAGATTCAGTCCAAGCTGAAGGTAGGGGGTCCCCGCCTTTTGGCCCGGCCCTGCTGTTTTCTGAGACCAGCCCAGGGCAGACAGGTGGCTGAAGAGTATGGAGGGGTGGAGGGTGTCTCAGAAACACAAACAGCAGCATGAAGTCTAAAGGCCACTTCAGGCTACAGAGGGCCACAGCCTCTGGAAACTAGGCAGAAGCCCAGGGGGACCGCCAGCCCTACAATGAGGGAGAGGAAGACCATCTGGGGGCCACTGCCCCCAGAAGTGCTCCCCCAGAGGGCTCACCTCTCTTCTTCGTTTTCCTTTTTCTCCTTCCTCCTAATTGCTGCTTGTTAATTGCATGGGGCCTTCGGTGGGCAGGGGGGAGACACGGGGGCATCGGCTGGCAGAGCTGTTGTGGTGGGCATGGCTGTTCCTTGCATTGGACGCTCAATCCTGATGCTCAATCCTGACTGCCTTATGGCTGAGGATCCCAGAGCATACGGCTCAGGGCCCCCGTAGGCTGTGCCTTCCCCTTACTTCATAGCTGCCCAGCAGACTAAGCCTGCCGCTCTAGGCCCCATGCCTGTATCACAGCTCCAGAGGACCTGGGCAGCCCCCCAGGGCACCAGCTTGGTCCACCATCTAGGTCTCCAGCATGCCCTCCCTCATTCTGCTCTTTCCAGGGCACGCCCACTGGCAAGCTCTCGCTCTGGGTAGCAGTGGGGTGGGGTGAGGGTCCACGGTGGCCTCTGAGCTCCCTTGGGTTCCTCAGACCCGAGAGCCAGGTGGCCGTTGAGCGGAGGAGGGTGAGAAGACAGGTCCCCACCCTACATGGCCCTCATGTGTGCCTCTTCTAATCCACCTCCCTCTCCTTCACAGGCCATGAACCTGGTAAGTAGCCTGCCCCTCCCCAGGGTGGGAGATGGGGGGAGAGCACCTAATACAGGATCTTCAAATCATGAATTGTGAAATCAATTGAATAGGTTGCGACCAGCATGCTTTGAAAATGAATACTGATAGTGGTTCTCAAACTTGAGCCTGCATCAGAATCGCCTGGAGGGCTGGTTGAAGACAGATTTCTGGACTTCACCCTCAGGGTTTCTGATTCAGTGGGTCTGGGCTGAGGCCTGAGAATTTGCGTTTCTAACAAGCTTCCAGGTGATCCTGGTGCTGTTGGTTCATGGACCACACTTTGAGAACCGCTGATGAAACAGAATAGAAAATATGAGTGCATGACACACAGCATAAGGGGAAGCGTTTGGGTATATACTGGGTTACAGAATAAAGTAAAATTATTTCTCACCAAGGATTGTGCTCAGAGGGGTGATGGACACTTAGGAGACCGGCCCAGGTGGGGGCTGGGACTCCCCTGAGCCCGCATAGCAGAGCCCTGAGGGCCTGGGAGGGGCCCTGAGGCAAACCCCAACCCTGTCTCTGGCCTGGCCTCACACTGCCTCTCCCCTCCGCAGGACCAGGTCTCCAAGGACAAAGCCCTCCAGAGCATGGCATCCATGTCATCCGCCCAGATTGTCTCCGCCAGCGTCCTACAGAACAAGTTCAGCCCACCCTCCCCTCTGCCCCAGGCCGTCTTCTCCACTTCCTCACGGGTACAGGGGGCCTGGGAGGTGGGGCTGAGGTGAGGGAGTGCCTTCAGGGCTGGGCTGTGGTGGGGGTCGTGGATGCTGAGGGGCCGCTGGGCTTTGTCCCATCTCTGCAGTTCTGGAGCAGCCCCCCTCTCCTGGGACAGCAGCCTGGACCCTCTCAGGAGTGAGTATTGTGGCACATCCTTCCCACACCCTCGTCCCTGGCAGTCATCTTCCCCTTTGATCAGGGTTCCAGCAACAGCTGGGCAAAGTTTTAATGCGAAAACAGAGGATGGAGAGCACCAGCAAGAGAGCAGTGCATCTGTCTATTCATTCATGTGTGTGTTCACTCATCAACCCACTCACCCACTTGTCGCCTGTCCTTCAGCTCCTTCTCATTCAGTTGCTCTCCCAGTCGGTCCCCTAGTCAGCACGTCAGGTAGTCGAGTGAACTCGGTTCCCTCAATTCTAAGAGGACTTTCATCCTCAGACACACCCTCCGTTTAATGAGCAGCTCGGGGTGGGGTCAAAAGGCTACATTAAATGTAGAGAGACATTAAATGTTGTGAGACACAGCAGGATTTCACAAATGCTAAAATGCGGAGAAGACAAAAAGCTGGTGAGTTAGCTTGTCAGCATGCATTTCTGGGCCTTTGCAGAAAGGCTGGGTGGCTCCCTATTGAGACCAGATGAGACTCCAAGTGACTGGACCAGGTGGAAGGTGGGCTTAGGGGTGACCCTCTAACCAGGCTGTGCTCCTCCTGTCTGCAGCATCAAGCCCTTTGCACAACCAGCCTACCCCATCCAGCCGCCCCTGCCGCCAACGCTCAGCAGTAAGTTCCCCACACAACATTGCCACCGACTCCCCTCTGCCCCTCCCCGACTGCTGAGAAGAGCAGGGGTGGGGCGGGGGGGGGGGGGGGGGGTGGAGGAGGGCAGCAAGGCTGTGCCTGTGTTTACGCTGGGAGGGAGAAGTGGGTGGTGTCTATAGGGGATTGGTACAGGAATAGGCCCCTCACCTTTTATAGTGTTGCTTCCAGAACTCTGCTACTAACTAGTACACACCAACAAAAATACATTTATATATGTGTGTGTGTGTGTGTGTGTGTGTGTGTGTGTATAAAATTCTCGCGTGGAAACACACCAACATCTTAACAGAATTTCACTCTCTCTAGGTGATGAGATCCTGGGTAATTTTTACTCTATTTTAAAATTTTTTTTATTCATTTAAGTAATCTCTACATCCAATGTGGGGCTTGAACCCGTGACTCCGAGATCAAGAGTCATATGCTCTTCTGACTGAGTCAGCCAGGCACCCCTATTTTTCCCTTTTTACTTGCCTGCATTTTCTCTTTGAATACACGTTAATAGTGATATAAAAATTCCACTGCTATGTACTACTGGGGCCACTGCAAACAGTTGTGCAGGTTGTACACTGTGCAAGAAGCCGTGGAAAGGGAGTCAAAATCCAACCCGTGTTCCTACCCGAAAAGGGTGCCATTTTCTAGTTTGCACAATGCTCTGCGCAGCTGGAGGCGGCTCTATGTGTAACCACGCACACACAGCCATGCAGATGAGGGTCCATCTCGCCCTCCCAGGTTACGAGCCCCTGACCCCGCTCCCCCCAGCTGCTGCCTCTGTGCCCGTGTGGCAGGACCGCACCATCGCTTCCTCCCGGCTGCGGCTCCTCGAGTATTCTGCCTTCATGGAGGTGCAGCGAGACCCCGACACGGTAATGTGGCTGGGGGTGGGGGTGAGGGTTTGTGCAGTCATGGAGACCCTGGCGTGGCGGTTCAGGGCCACGGCTCAGGGTCCTGGGGTGGGGAAGCCACAGGGCGGCTCTGTCCCGTGCAGCTCTAAGGCCTGCACACTTGAGTGCTCTCCTGACCCAGTACTGGGCCCTCCCCACAGTACAGCAAACACCTATTTGTGCACATCGGCCAGACGAACCCTGCCTTTTCGGACCCGCCTCTGGAGGCCGTCGACGTGCGTCAGATCTATGACAAGTTCCCAGAGAAAAAAGGGGGACTGAAGGAACTCTATGAGAAGGGGCCCCCTAATGCCTTCTTCCTTGTCAAGTTCTGGGTGAGCTGCCCTCTCTGCTCCCACCAACCCCTGCCCCCCAGATGTGCAGCGTACCTGGGTCCCCCTGCTGACCCCTGACCCTGCCCTCTCTCCCTGTGGCCTGTGGGCAGAGTGCTGGGGACGGGTCCTTGGGCGAAACACTGGTGTGGCAGGCCCAGAAGCCTCCCTCTGGCCTCCGCCCCTCCTGACACCACGCTCGCTTCCCCCCACCTAGGCCGACCTCAACAGCACCATCCAGGAGGGCCCAGGAGCCTTCTACGGGGTCAGCTCCCAGTATAGCTCGGCCGATAGCATGACCATCAGCGTCTCCACCAAGGTGTGCTCCTTTGGCAAGCAAGTGGTGGAGAAGGTGGAGGTGAGTGGGGGCCCAGGGTGGCACGGTGGGGCCGGGAGCGGGCACGCTGGGTGACGCCCTCCTCGTGGCCTTCCGCAGACGGAGTATGCCAGGCTGGAGAACGGGCGCTTCGTGTACCGCATCCACCGCTCCCCCATGTGCGAGTACATGATCAATTTCATCCACAAGCTGAAGCACCTGCCGGAGAAGTACATGATGAACAGCGTCCTGGAGAACTTCACCATCCTGCAGGTGTGGGGGGTGGGGGGGCAGCCGGGGAATGGGGGGCACAGGGGCCTCAAAGTGGGGGTGGCCAGACCCGTCGCTCAGGTGAGGAGACTGCTATCCAGAAACGAGAAGGGTCTTCTCGGCCCCTACACCTGTGGCTCTGTGCCGCCTGACCCCTTGAATCCTCCTGCCTGGCCCCCAGGTGGTCACGAGCCGGGACTCCCAGGAGACCCTGCTTGTCATTGCTTTCGTCTTCGAAGTCTCCACCAGCGAGCACGGGGCCCAGCACCATGTCTACAAACTCGTCAAAGACTAGGCTACCCTCTGCCCCCACCACCAGGATCCAGGACGAGCGTCTGTTCCACACACCTGCCTGGCCCCCCCTGGAAGTCTGGGATTGAGGACTCACCCGCCTGCCAGGCCTCAGGCCCAGGACCCAGGAGGCCTCCCCACCTACCCCCAGCACACACACTCCCTGCCACTGTTCTGCGCTTTAATTGTGGGAGAAGAGAGGAGGGCTCAGTGGTGGGGCAGCCCGCCCTAGATGCTGAACCATCGCCCAGCTCTGCCCAGCCTCCGGTGAATGGGAGGACCCCTTTGGGCTCAGGCACGTGTGGCCGGCAGGGGAGGGTGGAACGGAGACCGAGGGAGTCAGAGTGCAGAGGCCCCAGGAAGGAGAGTGTCGAGTTGGAGTTAGGTTGAGAAGAGAGAGGGGCCCACACTTTCTTGCACCTGCTATGTGCCGGGCCCGGTGCTAGGTCCTATGTGTACCCAGTGCCGTTCTCAGACTGCGTGAAGCGAGCACGGGTCGTGGGTCTTGGCGTCTCATGATGTGCTGAGACTTGAAGTTGAGCGACCCTTGCAGGGTGGGGCAGAGTTGGAATTCTCATCCAGGGCTGCCTGTCCCCAGAGCCCAGGTTTACACTACCTCCCTGGAGGGGATGGGAAAGAGGGTCTGTACTAGGGGCTGGGGCCATCCACGTTGGGAGCCTCCTCCCAGGGGAGCAGCTGCTTCTGACCAGGCAGGAAGAGAGGAGCAGCAGGTACTTGGCACCTGTTAGGTGCCCTCTGTCAGCCCCTGTGCTGACCTCCTCCAACCTGCCCTGGCCCAGATCCAGTGCCTGAGCCCGTCAGCAGCTTCCTGATGGAAGAAGGCCCCCAGGGGCAGACTCCAAAATAGCTTGGAGCGTCCTGTAGAAAGATGGAGCCCCAGCCTCAGGGCAGACCAGTGTTCCAGGGACAAGGGGTAGCAGAAAGGCTTTGCTATTTAATGCCCAAGACTTGGGTTTGGTCAACCCTTGGTGGGCGCCACTCCCTTATGTTTTTCTCCATCTCAGTCTCCCAGGACTGGGACAGCAGCTTCCCAGAATCAGTTCTGGGACTGAAGGTTAACCCTTCCCCTGCTGGCCCTTCCCAACACCCAGGCCCCTCTGCCAGCTTGGCCTGTCTACCAGCCGCCTCTGGGCATTCACGAGTTTCATATGAAGTACTGTGCCCCTTCCTTTCCTTACACCACCCGCCCCTGAGCTTCCTGAAGGTCCTCACAATTTGCATATCGCTCAGGCCACTTCCAAACCCAACCTAGGTTTTATAATGTATATTATATTTTTTGTGTATTTTTTAAATCCAGCTGTGATGGGTTATATCATAAACGTGGCGTGGGGCTGGGGTAGGGGCCCTCAAGGCCCAGCTCCTGCTCAAAAAAAAAAAAAAAAAAAAGAAAAAAAATTAAAGTTATTTGTTTGTGGGTTAGCTGTGTGACCAGTGTATGCCAGACCTCTCTGGGTTGGATTAGCTTCCAATGGGTGCTCCTGCTAGGTTAGCTCCTGGTGGGTCCCCCCACCCTACTCCATCTCTGCTGGAGGGCCCCCAAGCCATACTTGCACTCAAGGTCCCATGAAAGTTTTGCAGACTCCCTTTCTCCCACCCACTCCTGCCATGAGTGGAGTGCTGAAATGTGCCCAGTGCTGGCCTAGGTTCTACTGCTGCATGGTCTCTTTGAAGTGACCTGCCCAAGGTCACACAACTACTGAGGCCCCCTGCTAAATCCCCAGTCTTCGTGGTGGCTACTGCTGGTTCTCTATCCTGTCCTCACTTTACACCAGAGAAGAACCTCAAGGGGGAAGAGTGGATGGCTGCTAGCAGGGGAAGCCAGATTCCAACCTGTTCTCTGCCTGGAAAAGCCCTGCTCTCCCCTCTGAACCATCTTGTGCTCATACAGCAGGGACCACAGAGTGGGGAGGGTGAGGAGACAGGATCTTCAATGGATATGCATTGTTTATCTGAAATTCAAATTTAAATAAGCATCCTGTATTTTCATTTGCTCAATCGGGTAACCCTACTCTAGAATCTAGTTTTCTAGATCATTCCAGTCCAACCTCCAGATTTGCAGATGGGGAAACACTGAAGTTAAATGCTGTCTTCACTCAGCCAGTGGCAACACCAAGATTTGAATCTGGTCGGCCTGACTCCAAGACCATGCACCTGGTAGACTAATCTAGTAGCTTTTTGTCTCAGTCCACAGCATTGGATGGCCGCCAGACTCACTTGCAAGATGGGGAGGGTGCCTGGAGCCCCAGCCAGGTAGTTGTGGCTCCTGGAGTCAGGACTTGGTTTATGAAGCACCCACTACGTGCCCAGCCTAGGACTGGATCCAAAATCTGATCTCTGGGCTTAACAGGTAATTCTATCTATTGGATGCTTGAGGCATCATCACGTGTGTTGTTGCCTTCTCTCTCCCGGAGTAAACAGCCTTCGGGTGATTTAGAATCATGTAGATCTCCTGCGGAAAATCCAAGTGCAATATGGCTGGCCTCCTTGCCTGTCCTCCCCACCTTCTCGCCCCACATCTCCCTACTTCCTTGCCCCCACATGCAAATGTAACAGATCCAGAGGTGGGTGAGGTCTAGTTTCAAGGTCCCAAAATAAGGTGAGGATCGGAATAAGGGGAGTCTTGTGAGGCTGGAGCCCAGGACTCTCCTGAAGTGGCTCTTACCTGCTCAGGGTTCTGTGGGAAGCTTTAAAGGGCCAAGATGGCTGGATCCCAGAGACTGGAGCTAAAGTTCTGCTTTTCCTGCCCATTTCTGTTCTGATGTCATCTTGTCAATTCTAAGGTCAAGGCCTAGGTGCTACTCTGAGATTTCTTAGGGGCTCTTTACTTCCTTGTAGTGCTAATGCTGGAGAACTGGGGCTCCCCAGATAGCTGAACCCTGAATTCTCAGGTGCACACAAGCTTTCGACAGATCATCCCAGAGGCTGGAATTTGGTGAAAATCGCTCAACCTTCTTTCACAATGGAATCTGCCTCCATGCCCATTTGCTTTCTCTTCTGCTACCTACTCTTTATTGTGCTGCTGTGGGCTTCTTGAGAGCAGGCACCATGGCTCTAAACAGGTTCCCCACTGCCCAGTAGTGGGTCTGTATTTTACTATAGTTGGTAAGAATTCCTACCCCAATAACGTTAAGGCTTAATAGAATGGGTTTGATTTAAATCCAGGTGATTCAAATCAATCCAGTAAGACTCAAGTCCCTAAGTATTTCTAAAACACCCACTTAACCTTTCCCTGGAGTTCCCAAACTTACAAAAAAAATTTTTAATCCTTGGCTCATTTCAAACAGGAAGGTGTGTCTAATTCTAAAGCCATCCTGGTCTTTCTCCCCATTCACCAGCATCTAAATTCAACTGAACCAGACCAACAGACTTTACATACTGTGACCAAACACTACGTAGGTAGCTACATGTGATTGCTATTTAGCAACTGCTGTTTTAGGAACACTTCCTGGAGAATTGCCTTCTGATTGGTAGGATACACAGAATCATGCATGAGAAACTGCTTCTAAAAAACCCTTGGCTCCACAGGCATTGCTCAGTACTGCACCACTGCTGGCAGGAACAAAAGGTCTCTCTGGTCTTAGGCTCTGGGGTGGTTTGCAGGTTCTGAGAGGCTTTGCCCACTAGGGCCCTTGGGACTTGGCGCTCGAGATGCAGCTGGGACCCATCACAGCAAACTCCAGGGAGGACTTCGGTTTTATGCTTCTGCCTCATGGCTCTGCCTTTTTGGTTGTATTCAGTGCCTAATAAGCAGCAGTGCAAGAGGCCAGGTGTTAAGGTATTTGCCTTTTTCTTTCTGATTACAAACATGACAGAACTCCAGGAAATCCGATAATCATTTTACTCCCAGAGTTAAACATGGCCAACATTCTGTTAGGTCAACTTCCAATCACTTTTACTATGCATAAACTAGGACCCCAAATTCCGGGCTTATCACAAGATAAGACTGCAGCTTTTTTACCAGTAAGCAAAGTTACTAGCAGTTACTAACTTAAAAGCTAAAACAATAAAAAAAAAAAACCTCAAAGATCTTTGGTGAAAACCTCGGATTGTTCATGGTTCAAGCTTGTTTCAAGGTACATTTTTATATATACTTTGGATTAGCCTGTCAGCTGTAGTTAAGAGATGGAGGGATGAACCTGTTACTTTACCAAAGTTAAATGAAGCAGGTTCAAGTCTAATGTTAAATCACAGGTATTTCCCATACCAAAAACCAACTTCCCAGTACTGGGTGTTGGAGGCAAGAACAGGGAACTGCCTGCCGCAGAGCCTACCCAAGTACAAAGATCTAAAAGTTTCCACGGCCCAATTCTACCCGCTTGCTAAGCTCCCCCAAAAAACAAGGTTGGTGAATTACAATATTAATACAGATCTATTTGTGTTTTCCTAAACATCTCCGAGTAAATTACTACCCCTGAATATACAGTATTCAACTTGAGGTCACACAAATACTAGATCAGGATTGCAGACAAGAATCTAGGAATCCAAACTCCTTGTGATCCCTACAGACTGAGCCTCAACACACCACTTAGAGGGATAAAACCAAACAAAAAAAGCCCACAGAAAGAACCAATGGTGTAAAAGGGAAGCAACTTCAGCGCACAGGTTAAGCACGCTGCCAAGGAGAGTCAACGTCCTCACAGTGAAGGCCCTGACTCCTTTCTACTAGTAAGCAGGAGCACTACAGGCTGGAGTCCTAGCCTAGATCAGCCCCTCCAGGGTACAGAAGAGTTTCAGTCCCTGTTAGTAGTCCTATACTGTCACATGTTGTAAGTATCCAAAAGACCTAAATTTTAAGGTAGATAGAATGCACTTCCTGGTTTGCAGCACGGAGAAAAGGACTAGCCATCACTGGGTGCCAGGAACTGCAGTCATCAGCACAAAGCTCTGGCATGCAATGTCAGCTCACAGAGCACTTCCCTCTCCCCTAGTCACAGGCAGACAGATAATGGCAGGTAGCACTAGGGTTTATTAAACTGTGCCTTAGTACAGGCGTTGGGGCTTGCCCATGGTGCTCTTGATGTATAAAGCCCGGACATTCTGCCAATTCTTCTTGAGCAATGACACCAGGAAATTGACAGCTAAGTGGATGTTATACACAAGCTCATCATCTGTCATCTTCACGTGGCCAACAGCCACTGCCAGACACAACACCTGTGGGAAGAGGAAAGTCAATCAGGTTGGTGGCTAGACGCAACAGAGTAAGAGAGGAGGCACAACTACAAGCCAGATGGTCCAAATTGACCTCCAGTCACTAATAAACCTACTCTGACCCCAGGCCAGGAAGACCAGGGCTATGTTAAAAGCTTCAACCCTGCTCCGTGACTGTGACATGTCCTAAGTATCTACAGAAACACAAACAGGGCTCCCATGTAGAGAATTCAGAAAAAAGAAATGGAAAACTTATTTAGAGAACTCCAGGACGGGTGGTACTAAACCTATGCAACCCAGCCAGCCTTCCTTACCTTCTTCATCTGGAATTTGATTGTGGACTTCACTTCATCCACTTTGGCCACCATATTCTCATTGTGGGTCAGCAAGGAAGGGAACTTGCCAGCCTTATTCAGGCCAGGGCCCAGGATTCGTGGAATCTGCTTGATCAGAGATTCAGAAGCCAGAAAGGCATCATACTTCTTGGCTGGTGAAGAGAAGCAGTTGGATGCTTAGGATCTGGCCCCGGAAGGCAACTCCAACCAGGGCTCTGTCAACCAACCACGAAGTGGCCCCTAACCACCCTGCTAACCCCTCTCTCCAAGTACCAAGTCTTTTTTAATCCTCTCACTCCAGTTTCTCTATCCTCCTGAGTTTTACTGGTCCAGCATTCACATGAAACCTGGTCAGAAGCCCAGGCTGACCCACCCTCATGTTCAATAGAAAATACACATGCTCATTAAGACTGAGTTCAAATCCTGCCTTCCTACTTTCTAGATTCACAGTAACTAGGGCTCCTATTTCCTACCTGTAAAATGCTTACACAAAGGATAAAAACGAAAAAGAAATCAGTTTTAAATAGAAATCCCTAGTCAAAACATACCAGCACCTGACTAGTCCATCTGTGAGAACTAACCCAATTAGAATCTTCAAAGCCAACATAAAAGGGAACATTTAAGGGGCGCCTGGGTGGCGCAGTCGGTTAAGCGACCGACTTCAGCCAGGTCGTGATCTCACGGTCCGTGAGTTCGAGCCCCGCGTCGGGCTCTGGGCTGATGGCTCAGAGCCTGGAGCCTGTTTCCGATTCTGTGTCTCCCTCTCTCTCTGCCCCTCCCCCGTTCATCCTCTGTCTCTCTCTGTCCCAAAAATAAATAAATGTTGAAAAAAAAAAAAAAAATTAAAAAAAAAAGGGAACATTTAAAAGGTTAAAAATTATCAGAAGTCAACTAACCACAGCAGATCCTTCCCATCACGATTCTACTCCCTCTCCCATCATTTTAAAAATCCAAATGGGGGGGAGGGGGACGGGGGCACCTGGGTGGCTCAGTCGTTAAGCTTCCTATTTCAGCTCAGGTCATGATCTCATGGTTCAGGAGTTCAAGCCCCACACTGGGCTCTCCGCTGTCAGCGCAGAGCCCACTTTGGATCATTTGCCTCCCTCTCTGCACCTCCCCTGTGCTCTCACGCACTCTCAAAAGTAAACATTAAAAAAACAAATAAATGAAAATCCCAATGGCAGAAATACCACTCTTCTACCATTCCCATAGGAACTGTCTGCCCAAATACAAAACCACAGCAAGCCACACTCACCCAGCTTCTTGACTAGCTTTTTATTCTTGTTGAGTTTCTTCAGAGCCTCAATGTCCATGTGGGGAATATCCACAGCCTTCGCCTCATCACAGTGCTGCTGGTCCCCCAGCACACATACGGAGAACTTGGGGCGGGGAGTGGACTTAAGCCTGCGTTTTGGGGGGACAGAACAGGTCAAACCCAGCCTGGGACTCCAAGAGCAGGTGAAGGGGTCTGGGATCGCTGCAGCCACTGAGCCTTACCCAGAAGGTCCACATTCACCAACAGCTAGTCTGGCTTCTCAAACTAGCCGGCGGGCTCGGCCAAGGCCTCCCCACGCCTCCCCTCTTATTTTAAGACCCAGGGTGGGGGTCCGTCCAGCCACGCCTGCCCGGAGCAGGGGGTCTGAACTACCCAAGCGCGTCAGTGCCGCACGTGCCCGCCGCCTCGAGCTCAACCGGGAGCCCGATGGGAGGCGAGGGGCACGGGGTCACGGAGGACTGGGTGGGATCAGAACGGTGCCAACCTGACGGTGCCCGAGAAGCGTTTGTCCTTCTGAGGATCATAGTTCTTCAAGCTGATCTGCAGCTCCACGGTCTCCAAAAACCTTAGAGAAGATAATAAAGTTAACCAGCCGCCCGCGACTGCCCGAGCCACCGCGCTCCGGTCCCGCCCTCCCCGCGGAGACGCGCGCTTACTTCCTGCGCTTGCGCTGGTTCCCGTGCAGGACTTCCCGCACCGCCTCGTACAGGGTATCGCGGGAGACTTTGCTGCTGCAAGAGAGAATCAAGACGAGCGATTAGGACCCGGGAGGCGCCGATCAACACCCTCGGCCTAGTCAGAAGTCTCAGGCTTCGAGACAGAGGAAGGGTTCACGACGCACGCCAAGAGGCTTCCGGACACCAAATCAAGAGCTTTGGGTGCGATAAAGCTGGAGGCCAGGAGGAAGAGATACCTTCCTAGCGGTCGGGCCTGGCGCTCAAACTCGAACGTCGGGCCTGCAGGGCGGCGTCCGGCAAGAAATGCCCCTCGGCGAAGCAGAGGCAAGGATCCCCCCGATTCAGCCCGCAAGTCTCCCCCCACCAAGGTGCCAGGGGGCGCGGATGAGTGTGGATGGCTCCCTAAGTGCCACTTACCTCATAGCGCCACACACAACAGCAGGAAAAAAGAATAACTCAGTTCGCGCATGCGCTCAAATAAGGCTCCTGTTCTCGCGAGATGTAGCTTTCCTTCTGAGCGCGAGGGCCGGGACACGCAATCCCCGGGGAGCCCAGCCGTTTGCGGCCGCTGGAGGGCGCTGCCGCGTGTTACACAGCTAGAGTGGCTCGAACACTGGGAGATAGATTCTGCGGTCCTGGGAGCCCCGTGGCCCGCGAGGAATATTCTCGTTGGCGCCAGCCACTGCCAGGCACTTAATAGGCTGGTACTGGGCACCGCACCGTAATGGTCGCTGAGAGCATGCAGTTCCCCCATGTTTGTCTCTCCAACCTTTTCTGCCCTTTTCCTCCTGTCCTGCACACCTGCTTCGGGTCTCAAAAGCGGGTTTTGCTCCTGACCTCTCCCTCACCATCTTGCTCTGAGGCTCAGGGCTTCAGAGGACGTTGTGAGAAGGGAAATGTCACGAAACTTCGGTTCCTGGCCCCTCAAAGCCTGCAGTGGGGAAGAGCTGGGAAAGTACTGTGATAAATTTTCACTTGATAGCTGATTCAATGTCATCTACCCGTTAAGTAGTTACTATAGACAAGGTGCCTCCCTAGCTACTACAACACACACGGCCAGCACTGCACAACCCTTTCTGCCCTTTCCTCGGTCCAACCGGCCCCATCCTCTTCTCTGCCCATAGAAACCCCAGGAGTCCTACAGACTCCTCCTCGAAAGCCTCCAGCTCCAGACTGAGCTGCACCCACCTTCACGGCCCCATTCCCCGGTGGTCAGTGCACAACAGACAGCTCTGATAGGGCCGAGGTGAGTGGCATCACACCTTATCACACAGAACTGTGAATGAATGAACCTGAGAACTGTCACCTTCCCCTCACAGAGGATTTCACCAGGAAAAAGATGCCCCTTGTCACGGAGTAGGTGGGTGGTGGTGGTGTGTTGGTTTCAACAAACACCCAGAGTTAATAGGAAGGCAGACACTGCTTTGAATAAGACATTAAACTTCCGGGGCGCCTGGGTGGCGCAGTCGGTTAAGCGTCCAACTTCAGCCAGGTCACGATCTCGCGGTCCGGGAGTTCGAGCCTCGCGTCAGGCCGTCAGGCTCTGGGCTGATGGCTCAGAGCCTGGAGCCTGTTTCCGATTCTGTGTCTCCCTCTCTCTCTGCCCCTCCCCCGTTCATGCTCTGTCTCTCTCTGTCCCAAAAATAAATAAACGTTGAAAAAAAAAATAAAAAAAAAAAGACATTAAACTTCCTGCTTTTTATTAAATATCTGCTTTTTAATAAATTATTATCCAAATCAGAAAGAACACAGAGGGTCATAACATACACTTGAGCATAAGATATTTGTGCTGAGCACACAGGTCACCTCCAGGGCTCCTGAAGCATCATTCATGTATTCTGGGTCTGCTTTGACTCTACTGAGGCCTATCAGAAAGTTTCTGTCCCGGCAGCCTGAAGTAAAAGTGACAAGGAGTGAGCCCATCCAACCCCTCTAGCCCAGGACCCTGCCTGCTGGCTGGAAGGCCAAGATGGCCTCTCTGCATCCTGGAGCAGGGATGGCAGGTTCCGCCATTAGCCCCAGGCAAGGGGTCAGGGAGAGGTACTAGGGGCAGAAGTAGCCTTCAGGAAGCTGGTGAGGGAGCTCCAGGAGTATGGTCCCTTGCTGGATGGTCAGGGAGCCAGACGTCTCAGGGCGGCTTGCAGGGACTTCCTCAGAAAAGTGGTGTTGAGCTCTAGGACTGTGGCCAGGCCCAGCCTCTGGATTTCAGTGATCTGGGGAGAAGGAAGATAATTATCAGGACTCCAGCAGCTGATCCTTCCCTTTCCTCTCTGCCTCATGGCACTGTTTAGGAAGGAGAGAGGAATCTAGGACACCAGGACAATGGAGGAGATATCTAAACCCATTATTCTACTATGATTAAGTTTTCGGGTTCAAGTGGACCAGGGGTCAGATGTTAAGTGTACAACTTACTAAGTCAGCCACATTTAAAAAAAAACGTTCATATATTTATTTTTGAGAGTGTGTGCATGCACATGCACCCAAGCAGGGAAGGGACAAAGCGGGAGACAGGAAACAGAAAATCTGACAGTGCAGAGCCTGATGCAGGGCTCAAACTCAGGAACTGAAATCATGACCTGAGCCAAAATCAAAGAGTCCAATGCGTAATTGAATGAGCAACCCAGGTGCCCCCACCAAGTCGGCCATGTTAATAACAGTTGACAATTATGTAGGAACACTTTCTATGCAGGAACACTTTATAACCATGACTTCATAAAATCTGTACAACCCTATTTTATTAAAAAAAAGGTTTTTTTTTTAATGTTTATTTATTTTGAGGGAGAGAGACACGGAACGTGAGCAGGGGAGGGGCAGAGAGAGGGAGACACAGAATCTGAAGCAGACTCCAGGCTCTGAGCTGTCAGCACAGAGCCTGATTCAGGGCTCAAACTCATGAGCTGTGAGATGATGACCCGAGCCGAAGTCAGACGCTTAACCGACTGAACCACCCAGGTTCCCCCTCCTATTTTACAGAATAGAAAACTGAGGGTCAAAGATACTCCATTGTGACTGCCACATTCCTTCTGGGCCAGTATTTCTTCCCTGATCTGTTGCAACAACCTCCTGACAGATCTCTGCCCTGTCTTCTCTTGAATCTCCACTCCTTACAGATGTCCGAGGCTTCTTTATAAAATGTACATCTGAGCAAGACACTCCAGCTGAAAGCCCTGGGATAACTACTGATGCCTCACATTGGAGGACCTTCTTCCAGGATCTACATAGGGTCTTCGGTGGATCCAGGAGCCTCCTGAAATTGTGCATAAGATGTGTGTTCATGGTTTCATTTTTCTGGGAGGATCTATAGCTTTCATCAAATCATCGGATGGGCCTGTGACTCCCCCAAAAAGGTAAAGAGCCAACAGCTAAGGATGCCTGGCCTTCAGGGTAACTCCATGCTCCTCATCAAATCCTACAGCATCCTCCATAAGATGCTAGCATGGCCTGGCAACGTGAGTCTCAATTTCCTCATCTATAAAATGGAGCTAATAATGGTACCTTCTTATTGGGCTAACACATCGAATAAACTAGCAAGTTAACATAAGCAAAGGGCTTAGAACAGTGCCTGAGACGGAGCAGGGGCTACGCAATATTAGCTCTCAGTATTTTAACTCTAGCCTTGAACCTCACCCCAACTACCATCTGCTCTCACGTTTTTAGGCCTCAGCTACAGCGAACTACCTGTAGACCCCTTGGACACTCACTGCTTAAACTGTTTCCTTTGCCTAAAATGCCCTTTCCTCAGTCTTGGCCCCTGACCACCATTTACCCTTTCAGAGTTGAGAAGCCTGTCCCAATTCCCAACCACAAGCAGGGTTTAGATGCACCCCTCTTCCTCTGCCACCCAATGCCCGGCACCCACACCTCTCACCTGGCTCCTACCAGATATTACAGTGATCTGGTTATCATCTCTCTCCTGCCTCACTAGCCTGGCACTGGTGGAGAGTGTCAAGTCAAGGACAGGGACTGCGTCATGGTCACTATTCATTCTCCAGTGCCCCATATAACATCTGGCCCACAGCGGTGTTGCTGGGATGAATGAACTCCTAATCAGTCTCATTCCCCAGTCTTAGGCTTGAACTCATAGTTTCCCTGGCTAACACTCAGGGTGTCTTCCCCAGCAAACACTAGACATACACCCTCGTGGCACACTCAGAGCAGCGGGACCAGCCCTCATGGCCCTACTGATACTCACATTGGCCTGATACTTGGTCATCACTGTCAGCATGAGCTTGGCATAGGCCACGGACGTGGCAGCTGCTGGCCCCTCTTTACAGAGCTTCTCCATCAACACACTGAACTTCTCAGGGGTCATCTCCACCTGCACACATTGGGAGATGGGACAGAACAAGAAAGGGCCCCGGATTTAAATCCCAATTCTACCACTTCCTAACTAGGTAACCCCGGGAAGGTCACTTAACCACACGAAGCCTCAGTTTCTGCATCTGTAAAATGAGATTCATGATATCTAATCCTAAAAATGGCGAAAAGGATTAAATGAGATAATGCACATAAAGCCTGGCACATAGGTCTTGGCCTGGCTTGGTGGTTTAAGGTATAAAGGAGTGAGGAGTCCCAAGGGGTAGTGCCAGCATAGTAACAATAGCTCTCCTTAATAATAATGTAATCGATACTTATTATGTATCAGGCCCTGTTCTGAGCACTTTACACCAATTATCGATTTCAACCTCACCCCAACCTTGGGTGTCATCACTTCCATTTTGTGGATGGGGAGACTGAGGCATAAAGAGGTCATGTCAACTACCTAAGTTATAAAAAATGAGGTAGAACTTCAGGTAGTGATATGGAAAAATTACCAAAATAGACTGTCAGGTTAAAAAAGCAAAGTACAGAGAACTGAGCTTGGTGTGTTACCATCTATGTAAAAAGCAAGGAAAAAGTGAACTTAAACACATGTCCTTATATAGAAAAACCCTCTGGGAGGGTTCCCCTGGAACTAGTAACACTGACTAGCCCTGGAGAGGGGACCTGGATGGCTGGGGGAACATTTTTCACCATATCCTTTGGGCTTTACAATTTTTGAACAAATGAATCTATAACCTATTCAAAAATAAAATTAAATTTATACACAAACACATCAAAAAGTCCCTCCCCAAGGCCACACGGCTAATAAGAGGCAGAGCTACGACTTACCAGGCAGTCAGCTCTCTGCTACCAGCCTTTCCGGCCCCAGGACTCCCTTACCGTCAGGGGGCACCTGTTCTGCTTGCCCCTCCACCACTGGAGGGATCAGAAACCCGGGAGCCCCACGCCGGGCCACAGCATTGCAGCACTTCTCTGTCCACCCCTCCCCAGGGCAGCCTGCTCACCTGCCGTTCCAGGAGTGACTGCAACACCAGGAACGTCTTCTCTTTCCAGGGCAGCTCCAAGATCTGTCTGCAAAAAGCACAGGCTCCAGTGAGACTGGCCCAAGCCTGGGAATCCATTGCTCCTACCCCAAGGCAGTGCCAGGCACTGGAGACAGCCAAGATCCCCAGCCAACCAAGGAAGTACTCAGAGCCCCCGATGCTGGCGGCCATTCAGTAGCCAGCCCATACTCGGTGCTGGGAAGACTACAGCCCAAGACTCCTGGAAGGGATGGTGAAGGACTTGGCGTGAGGTGTACAAAGGTTCCCTGAAAAAGAAGCAGGAGTGGAGAGAGCATCCCAGGTACCAAAGGTGAGGGTGAGCCAAGGATGCAGTGAGATGATACCTATGAAGGCTTTCTAGAGAAGGCGGCATGCCCTGCAGAGCACAGGGAAAAGGTGGACCACAGTGAGGGCCACTCTACTGTGCTTCCTGTTCTACCGCACAGTCCTCTGCTTGCACGCACGGGCAGTGCATCACATGGAAACAGTGTGGCTTCGTGGGTAGACGGTCTTGAGTCAGATCCCAGGCTTTATCCCTGGCTGGCTGTGTGACCTCTGACCACGTCCCTTAACTACTCTGAGCTTCAGTTTTCCCAACTCTAAGGCAGCAACAGCACCTACCTCACAGGACGGCATGAAGACTGAGATAATGAACCTAAAGCACAGACAACGTACTCGATAAGTGGTGGCGGACGTTGTTTTTCAGGCCGCCCCCTTCTCATGTTACAGTTAGCATTTTACATTTCACATTAGTGTCCAATGGGGTTGTAGTTCCCCATTGTTCCTACATGTCTGGATTGTGACTCCCCAGTTTTAATACCCAAACCAAACACCAATTTAATAACAATCTTTGAGCACTTACTAGGGGCCAAATACTGTGCGGAGGTCTATGTGCATTACCACATTTGATATCTAGAAAAAATCCCACGGAGCGAATATCGTCCCCATTTTTTTATATGAGGAAACAGGCTCACAGAGATGGAATAACCTGTCTGGATTCACCAAGGCAAGGCTGAGATTTGAAATCCTGTCTGTCTGACCCCAGAGCCAGTGCTCTTAACCTCTGTGCCAACTACACTGTGCACTACTCAGGAGCAGGGACCCCCAGCCTCTTCTCTACCTTCTCCAAGGTACCCGGCATGGAAGACTGAAACCCTGGCCTTGGGAAGGTTCACGGGATGGCAACTGGCACATGCCCACGGGAGGGAGGACAGGCCAGGCAACAGCGAGAGGGGCATCAGCTGTGTAGTTGCCGGTCTTTCAGGCACAGGGCCTGGTACCCAGCCAGCTCCAACTCCAGAATGCCGGGAACCAGCCTGGCCAGTGGGAGCGGGTGGGGGCAGCACGGAGGCCTGTACACTTACCCCAGCATTAGAACCTGCGTGTCTGGCTCCAGGGCCTCGTCCTTCATAAGGCAGCAGAGTAACTCTGTTTGAGCTGGACCTGGGTAGAGGAAAGCAGAACAAGGGAAATCTGGGAGGAAATGGTAGGAGAGGATGGAACAGAATGCCTGGCTCATTACAGGGGGGCATCGTCAGGGAAGCAGCAGGTAACCTTACCGACTGAATACACAACTGCCAGGGCCACCCTGGAGTGAAGGGTGCTGGGAACAGAGAGGGAAGAACTACTGGGCCAGGGCTCGTTCCAGAATTACCAGTTCCTGGGGCCTGGAGCACGGGGCCAAGAAGGGTTCTGCAGACAGGATAAGCATACTTGGCACAGAAGGAGGTCAGGGCAGTCACGAGCAGGCGGGAGGCCGAGGAAGTCAGGGACAGAATCTACAGCCAGTGGGGAGGAAAATATTAATTAATTCATTTCTTCTTTCCTGTAATAAATGCTTATCAGACATATTTCAGATGGTGATAGACATTACAAAGAAAAAACAAAAATTCTTTTATTTAGAACTCACATGGGAGGACAAAAAGTTCCCTTCCCCAGCTCCTAAATCCCTTCAGCTTCTGGAAGGGTCTGGGGCCCACAAGGGAGGAATGAGATGCCATGTGGAGAGATGGCCTGGAGGTCCATGCTCTTTCTGTGCCCCAGGCTGCCTTGGGAACCCCTTCTCCCAAGCACACTCTTCTGCGGGCTCACATTCTCTCCCCCACTGTCCCCAGCATGCCAAGTGTATCCCAATGCACCTACCCGTCTTAGAAAGAGGCTCTTGGTCAGAATGGTAGCATTGCTGAGGCTAAGGTCTGGTGAAAGGGACAGAAGCCAGCTGCAGAACTGCAGGAGAGCTGTGTCCGAAAGCTGCAGGAGCTGCAGCTGGGCACACAGCAGTTCCATCTGCCAAGTAGGAGGGAAACATAGACACTCGGTCTGTCTCTGCTAGGCGGTCTCAAGCCAACTGGGCAGCAGAATGGGTGGGGCAAGGACACTCCACCGGAAGGGAAGGCAGGGAGAGCTGCCCTATGGTGAGGGGCCAAGGGCTCAAAGGAAGCACACGGTGACCCCTGCCCAAGAGACCAAAAACCCAATAAAATCCCCTCCCCAAATTCCCACACAAGGCAAGGAAACACAGATGTAAGTGGAAAAAGGCTGGGGACATATCCTCAGGCCAGGCCGTCTTCCTGGACTCACCTGGCTTGGACTGCATTCGTGGAGAAGCTGTAGCTCAACTGGAGGGGCACCCTCCAAGCCCTGGAGAGGCAAATCCCATGTTAGGGCTGGCAGAGCCCTTGGTGACAAGTCAGAGACCACCCCTTTGTCTGGCACAGTGGGTGGGTGAGGACCCTGGATGCTACCAGAGGAGAGGGACTGCTCTGGGGTTAGACGATGTATCTGGACTTGGGCCAAGAAGAGCCCCTGCGGTGACGGTCCTCAGACCTTCACCCTGACCCTCATTGTCCAAACAGCCTGTGTTCTCCTGGGCGTGGCTGAAATCCAGGCAGAAGGTGGAAGAAGGGCAATGGTGAGCAGGGGTCAGTTACCTCCCCGAAGGTCTTGAGCAGCTGCTGCAGCCTGGGAACCTGGTCCTGCAAAGGAGAACCTGATCACTGCTGAGTCCCTACCAGCACAGTGTGGCCCCAAGCCCAGCCCTAGCTCCCTCTCCAGAGAAGGCCCTGGGTCAGTGGGAGCTAGGGGGCAAAGATGATTAACGAAGACCAAGAACACAAAGCCTAACCTTGAAAAGTACTTAAGAACTCAAAGTAGACAAGGCCCATGGAAATCCAGCTGTCTAGATTGACCTCTCTGCACCCACCCTAATGGGGGTAAGACCCAGGCCTTGGGTCGGGAGGACAGGCCGAACACGGCACAGTCCCACGCCCTCTCCATAGGATAGCTCTGGAGCTTCTCTTCTTGCTTGGCATCCTTTAACCTCACATTGTACATCATTAGGCCAAAGGTTCCCCACCTCCAATAACTCCCTTCCTACCTCATCCTCAGAAGCTGTGGAGCAGAGACTATATTCCCTTAACCCCACCCTCCTACCCCTTGCTCCATGGACCACAGTTATCCCAGTTGGGAAATGGTCTCCCAACCAGCTTTGACCCTGGATAAACCCCCCACTCCTGGAGGATCCCTCTAAATCCAGCCTCCCCACCCTAGTACCTGGATAGCTTTGGGCAGCTCCAAATTCTCAGCTAGGCCCTTGGCATCCTCCAGACTCTGACCAGCCACACTGGGCTCAGCCTGGACAGGCTGGTTCTTAATGGGCAATGTACCTCCTCCATCTGCCAGGGATTCCAAAGATTCAGGTTCGTGTCTCTCCTCCTTGTGACCTTCTTCCTCCCTTTCTAAATATCGGAACCTTTTGGGGGCCCTCTCCCCCTCAGGCCTGGCAGGCTCTTCCTCTGGCCCCTTTCTGCGTTTCCCAGGCCAATGGGGGTCCTCATCCTCCTTGTCCTCCTCTTTTTCCTCTCCAGGATCCGGAGTCTGAAGCAACTTCAGCCTCCTGCCTCCCTGGCCCAGCCGCCTACACAGGCCTCGGAGCTGTCTCTGGCAGCTTTTAGACAATGGGGATGCTCCCGCAGTCGATACCCCAACGTCTAAATCCCTTCGCAGCAATTCCCCCAGGGCCCGGAGCCAGGTGTCAGGGTCAGGGCTTTGGTCTTGCTGTGCAATCTGCAGCACAGAGAGCAGTCCGCTTTCAGGCAGCGACGGCCAAACAGCCATCAGCAGGGACATCAGGTTCCTCTGGCATAACTGAGGCAATCGCAGCAGCAGTGGCTTCCTGGGGAGCAGGAGGACAAGCAGTCAAGAGCATCTTCCTGGAAGGAGCACAGGACAGACTGCATAGAGCTACAGGTTAGATGGCAATGGACAGACAGGGTAACTAGGAGGCAGTACCTGCGAGTCAGTATGGATGGAGGGGGACAGCATGACAGTCATTCAACAAGCATTTATCGAGCGTGTATTTTACGTTGTTGTTAAATCAGCTTGAGTTCATTTTACTATTACTAAACAGCCAAAATTTCTCTGAACAATTCAATATTTTTTAAATTGAGCACGTATTCATGTATTCTATGCTAGGCTCTGCTCTTTGACATCTCCTAGTTCAGCTCAAAAATTCACATTGAAACCTACTCTACAAAAGATCTATGCTTGTTTTACAAAAAAAAAAAAAAAAAAAAAAAAAAAAAAAGTCCCTTCCCAAACTTTACATAAAAATAATACCCCAGGGGTGCCTGGCTGACTCAGTCAGTAGAGCATGTGACTCTTTTTTAATTTTGTTAAACGATTTATTTATTTAAGTCTATACCCAACATGGGGGGGGGGGGCTCAAACTCAAGACCCTAAGATCAAGAGTCACATGCTCCACCACTGAGCCAGCCAGGCACCCCTAGAGCGTGTGATTCTTGATCTCAGGGTCATGAGTTCAAGCCCCAGGTTGGGCACAGAGCTTACTTAAAAAGATAAATAAAATTAAACAAACAAAAAGAATGTGCTGTGGGATGCACCACGGCCCAAAGTAAAATAATAACACTCTAGGATGCTGTGCAGTGCTTATTCTGCAGCCCTGTGCTCTCCTTGGCAATCCCCTGGAACTCACAAGGTTACATCAGTCTAGCTGTGACATTCCTTTCACCCAGCTGAGTTCCTGAGAAGCACAGGCAGTGTCTCCTTCCTCCATGTCCCAGTACCCAGCAGAGCATCAGCCCACATCAGGCACTTGGTACACACTTTATTGAATGAATTAACTCTCAGAATTAAGTGTCCAGACATCGGCAAGGACTACTGTGGACAGAGCAGTGTAGCCGTCTGTAATGCTGTAAAGGCACGAATCCAGACGCTGTGGGACCCGAGGCTTACTGGTGTGGCAAGTCATGGGTACATCAAGCCCACCTGCCGTCACGCCTCTGCTCCTCTCTATGGGACTTTGCAGGGCTGCTTATCATCATACACAAGGGGCACCTGGGATGAGTGAAAGAGAAAAAAATCTGACTTTTATTTCTTTGTGAAAACCAACTACTTAAGTGAGAGAGAAAACTAAAGTAAAAGTTAAAAAGATGATCAATTTGGGGTACCTGGGTGGCTCAGTCAGTTAAGCCTCCGACTTGGCTCAGGTCATGATCTTATGGTTCGTGGGTCTGAGCCCTGGGTCGGGCTCTGTGCTGACAGCTCAGAGCCTGGAGCCTGCTTCAGATTCTGTGTCTCCCTCTCTCTGTGCCCCTCCCCCGGCTCATGCTCTGCCTCTCTCTCCCAAAAATAAATAAACATTAAAAAAATTTTTTTAAAAATATGGTCAATTTGTGGTAGAGGATGATTAGGAGTACAGAGGTGGGGGAGACCCTATCCTAACTTCAAGGACTTATAACTCTTGTGTGTGCACGAACCCCCTTATCAAAATAAGTGTTAAATGCACAAAATAAAATACATGAGATTATGAAAGAAACCAATTATACTGAAGTAAAGTTGTACCCAGAGACCTTAGATTAAGTCCCCTCCTCTTATTCTGTCCGGAAAAAGCCAGACAGCTGGACAAACATTTCTATGACCTCCAATTTGGGGATGCAGAAAGTCCTCCTGAGCCATTTCTTGAAAAAAAATTCAAAGTGGGGTGTGGGAAGCCAGTATTAGAACTTACATTTCTACTTACCTAAAACATAAGAAGTTAGTTATCATAAATATTTAACGTATGGAATGGCCCTTCACCTTCCAGTCTCCAGCCCAATTTTGAGGGAGAGGTATCCAAGTGTGCAGAGCCCCCTAGAGGCTGAAGGCAGCACCTCAGTCACCTTTTAAATTTTTCTGTGCACTTTAATTATGATAATTAAAGGAATTTATGGATACGGTATTGTTTTTTAACACCACCAACCTCACTAAACGGACACACAACTTATAAGGATGACTGAAAAGAAACTGAATGCCAGTAAATGACGCACACCAAATAAGAAAATGGCAGAGCTGACCCTTCTCCTAGCAGAAATTGTCACATAAAAAAAATTTTTTTAAAAAGTTCAAAGTCGGGGCGCCTGGGTGGCGCAGTCGGTTAAGCGGCCGACTTCAGCCAGGTCACGATCTCGCGGTCCGTGAGTTCGAGCCCCGCGTCAGGCTCTGGGCTGATGGCTCGGAGCCTGGGGCCTGTTTCCGATTCTGTGTCTCCCTCTCTCTCTGCCCCTCCCCCGTTCATGCTCTGTCTCTCTCTGTCCCAAAAATAAATAAAAAACGTTGAAAAAAAAATTAAAAAAAAAAAAAGTTCAAAGTCATACCAAAGACTATAATTATCAAGAACACCATCCTTAAGAAAAGTGATTTTGCCCTAGAATGTACACTGTGCTTTGAAAATTCGACATTATAAAGCCATTCCAACAGATGGTCCGTTTTCTCATCACGTTTTAAATGTCTATTTTTGTATACTTTATAATGTGCGCTACTTTTTTTAAGTTTTATTTATTTATTTGGGGGTGGGGCAGAGAGAGAGAGTGAGAATCCCAAGCAGGCTCCACCAAGTCAGCACAGAGCCGGACAGGGGGCTGGATCCCATAAACCATGGGACCATGACTTGAGTCCAATTCAAGAGTCAAAGGCTCAACTGACTGAGCCGCCCAGGCACCCCTTGGGCATTATTTTTGCACTTGTGTACACTTTGTTATAGGTAAGTATCCCTACGCTGGAGGTATGCGTTCCATTTCTTTAGAGATGGGAATCTGCGAACAGAATCTATTTGAGCCCACTGTCGTCTTTTTTATTCATTTAATTTTTTAAATGTTTGTTTATTTTTCAGAGAGACAGAGAGAGACGGAGCGTGAGCAGGGGAGGGGCAGAAAGAGAGGGAGACACAGAATCCGAAGTAGGCTCCAGGCTCC